TTTTTTTTTTTTTTTTTTTGATCTTTTTCTTAGTAAAACATCAAAAAGAAAATTTTTGATGTTTTAATTTGGTCTATGTATCAGATGGAAAAAAAAATTTTGAATACGAAAACGGCAACAATCAAAAAAAAAAACAAAGGGTGAACGGAAGGAGAAACACACAGTAAGTACGCAACATTCTAAGCAAAAAAAAACCCATTTATTTTTAACCTCAAATTAAACATCGATTTTTGTACAGTAAAAAAAAGTTTAAAGGTTTTTTTTTTGTCTATATAATTCAGAAAAAAAAAAATTTACAGCTTACAAATACAAAAAAAAAAAAACTGCAGTTTAACATAACACTTAGTACAAAGTTTTCCTATGTTTACAGCTGTATTGGTCACTGGTGCATCTGGTTTTGTGGCAACTCATATTGTTCGTCTACTGTTACAAGAGGGTTATCGAGTTCGTGGAACATTACGAGATATGAATAATGAACTTAAATTACAGCCATTAAGAGATTTGCAATATTCAGATGAACGTCTGGAACTTGTTTATGGAGAGCTAAATGATGCTGAATCATGGAAAAAGTATTGTATCTGTTTAGCATTTTATTGCTGTTTTGTTGGTTAAGAAAACAGAAACGAAAAAAAAAAGGATTCTATCTTATTTTTGTTTCATACTTTATTGCACAAAAATTTAAATGCTGCTCTGTTTAGTTGGAGCTTTTTTTTTTTTGTTTCCTACTAAGGTTTAAGCTCTTTAGTTTAGTGATTAGATGATGACAAAAAAACAGAAACACTTTTCAGAGCTGTGCAAAACTGTGACTATGTGATGCATACAGCAAGTCCATGTGAACTTGTCGCATCCAAAACTATTGTTCAGGATGCCGTTAACGGAACCCTAAATGTTCTTCGGGCAGCTGCTGGATGCCCAACGGTTAAAAAGGTTGTGCTCACCAGTTCCTGTGGTGCTGTAAACGGTACGATTAATGATAGTTTTGCTATCTTTTTCTTTTCTTTTTGTTCTTTTTTTTGTTTTTTTGGTTTGGTTTGGTTTTTATAACTGGATTATGGTATCCAAGTTTTAGTCCTGGTCTATAGACTGGCAAAAAAAAAAAACTCGTTATACAGATGTATAGCTTTCATTTCTGCGGCTTAGTTTACGGAAGCATAAAATTTTTTTACACTTTTATATTTATAGCTTTTTTTTTTGTTTAGGAAAAAAATTTTGCTCCATCTAAACGATTTTTTTTTTTTGTGTTCGTTTTGGGAAAACCGTTGAATGGCGTTTGCGCTGCAAAACAGTTCTTTTATTGTAACTGTCACAAAAAAAAAAAAAAAAGTGCATTCAAAAGTAATTCTTAAAACATTTTTTTTTTCTTCTTTTTGGCACATATTTTTCACAAATATTTTTTGTTATGTTGAAAAAAAAAATATTATATATTTTTGCAAAAAAAAAAAAAAAAATCTCGTAAAGGTTTTTTTTTTTTTTGTTCATTTATTTGTCTTAAAAATTTAGAAAAATAAAAATGATACAGCTAAAAGTAAACTGCAAAAAAAAAAAAAAAAGCAGAATTTTTTTGAATGTAAACATACAAGGAATTTTTGAAATGTAAAGACAACTTAAAACTGATAATAAAGTTTTGCATTGAAAACTATGAAACTGTTTTCAAAAATGATTCCAATTTTTTTACACAAAATTTTGTTTAGCAGATGAATTGAGCAGTTTGTGTCTCAACTGTTTTACACCAAACATCGTAACAAAGTGATTATAGTACAAGTTTTTTAAAGGTTTTTTACTTTTGTTTTTAATTATTTGTAGTTTGAGAGTAAACTACTTTTTCTGTTCAAACTATTCAGCCAATTTTTTATTTTTTTGCAACAAAAAAGAAAGACTATAGGATCTATTAAACAAATGGATGAACTGTATTGTCGCCAATGTATCAGTTCTGCTACCGCAACTAATTCTTCAATGTTCTAATCACCAAACAAATTGTATAATATTTGTTTGGCCTTACGAAACAAAAAAATTTTTTATAGTTTTTTGTCGATAATCAATCGGTTATAAAACAAATTTTTCTAAAGTATTATTTTGCTGATAAAGAAAAAAATTACTGAATGGTGGCTCATAAAGACGACCAAAGTGCAAATGCAGTATAAAAAATTTGTTTTACAGGTGTATTCCTTGTTTAATTTCTTCAAAATTACTGTCAGAACTAATTGTGGAACAACTGTGAAAGAGAAGAACTTTTTCAATAGGGTAATCATCGTCTAGAAATTTTTGGTAGTTTAAGCAACTAAGTATCAGTCAATAATCAACTGCTTGCCAGTAGATTAAAAAAGTTCCTTTAATAGCTTATCTTATGCTTTTCTTATTTTGTTTTATCAAATTTTTTTGTTTGACTGAAATAGCTATTGAAATACTTAAAAGGTTCTTTAAAAACCGGTTTCTTCGTAGTTTTAGCAACCAGAAAGTAACTGTCAGGCAGGTTTGTTCTACAACACTATAGCTCAATTTACTAAAAATTTTAAGAGTTAATAATTGGTCAGTTAATGTAGCAAAAAAAAAGTTGGTCTTCTCTGGAAAAAAAATTCAAAAAAAAAAATTTGTATAAAATCAAGCTAAGACTTATAATTCATCTTTTTTAAGAAATTAAAACGCTAGAACATTGAAGATACATCAGTGCTTTAAACTTCAGACACAAAGTAAATTTGGTTTCATTTGAAGAAGCAGAAGAACAGAAATAAATTAAGGATTATTCAGAAGATTATATATTACTAAGAGATGAGACACTTTTACTGTACCTCTTACTAATTTATATGGCAACAGAAACCATTTTTTTATCTATAATCTCGAATTACTAAAGTGAATTGAGCTAACTATTCAAACTGTTGTGTCTTTAAGGTCGGAGTTCTAAAAAAGTGTGGAACGAAGCAAAGAAACGAAAAACTGGTTTAAAATTCTACGAAAACTCAGTTGAAGACCGTATTTTGTTGCATAACTTCACTATACAAAACTCTAGTGAAACATTTTGATAAGATTAAGCTATCAAGTTCACCGTTCCAGTGGTGTAACTAATGACAAGCTTCATTTCTTTAGCACAAAAGAAAAGATTGCATATTATTAAGAACTGATAACATTTTTTCACCTGCAAAAAACAGGTTCAAAAAACAGTTACAAAAAATGATCTTTCTGTTTTTTTAAGTATCTCCGTTTTAACACTATTTTTATGATTTGAATTATTGCCTTTACGGCATCGTTGCTTCTGCTACAGTTACTAATAAGCAAAAGCTAGAAAGGTTGTTGTTGAAGAACGTTGTTTCTTGTTAACGATCTTACTGTATGCTGGTGCAAAATTTAAAGTGCTATTTGAAGATTACTTGTAGTTTCTTTGTTTTTGCTGCACTTTATCGCTTATAGATTTTAGCTTTTTTTTTTTTTTTTCTTCTTATTGGTTTCAGAAGATCAAAAACTGAGGTGGCAGCAAATTCATAAACTGTTCTCTGGCCTTATAACTGAAAATTTAAAGTTATCAAAACCTTTATCAATTTTTCCCTTTTTTTTCTCATTCTTTCTTATACTCTTTCTTCATTTTTACAAAAGAGTGACGCCCTTTTATCTTCAAATCTATTTTAAAAAGTTTTTAAAAGTTTAAATTTTTGAAAATTTTAAAAATTTATTTGCAAAACTGTCAAAGTGCTTCAATTCAAAAAAAAATTGGACAAAATTAAGCAGCTATGTGCTGTTGATCGACCATACATCAAAAATTGTAGTAATTTTTTGAAGGCATGTATTTTAGATCAACATTTTGCAATCTTAATTTGGTACAGATGAACACAGTATTTTCCAAAAAAAAATTTTTTTTCTTTTCAGAAGGTTATCAAAAAGAGAAACGGATTTTTGATGAAACCGACTGGACCAATGTGTCGGATAAAAAAGTGCTGCCATATCATCGGAGTAAAACCGAAGCTGAAAGAGCTGCATGGAAATTTGTCAAAGATGAGAAAGGTATGATAAAAAAAAAAAGCAAGCTAATCTATATTAATATATTTTTTTTTTGTTTTTAATAGAACAAACTATAGCATCAGTTTACTTAGTTTCTTTTCTTTTTTCTTCTGTCTAAAAATAGCAAAACTGAAGGTCGTTTTTGGCAAGACTAATCAGTTAGATTTGGTATGCATTAGTGATTAGTTAACACAAAAAAAAAGGCTTAAGAAATACAAAAATTCTTATCCTTTTTTTTAACAGTTAAAATGTACTTATGTAAAGTCAGCAAAAAAATAAAAAAAACCACTTCATAAGTTAAAAAAAAAAAAGAAACTTTTTTTTTTTTAAAAAAATACAAAGTCATAAAAAAGGAGAAAATTTGAGCTTACTTAACAAAAAAAAAAAAAAAAAAACAACCAAAATTTCAATAAATACCACAAATAGAATGTTTTGCCCACTTAAATCATCAAAAAATCATCTCTTCAACTTCAATTTTGCCAGGTTACCGGTTGTCGGTTTGTTTAAGTCTGCAAAAACCAGCTTTTTCATAAGTTCTTTCCTTTTTTTTGATTAAAAATTTGAAACCACAG